TTAGGAATGGGCTTAGAATCATGTCCTAATGGAATTCACAGGACCAAAGACTCATGATCAATTGTGTGTACTTCCTCAGTGGTTTTAAGCACCTGAGACCCACGATAAGCCACAGTTGTGCTTGCTCAACACTGAGAACTATCAAAATAGGTCCTGCAAAAAGTCAAAGGAGGGTACACAGGATGCCAGAAACTGGGTTTGGCCCAGTTAGGAAGTGTAGCAGACATGGATGTTTTTTAGCCGACTAACTGGTGAACGCTTTCACATCTTTTCTGAGTTCCCACATTTAAGCCTTAGCAAAAAACAGAGCCACACCCCACTAGAGAAGTGGGAAAATGCCAGACACCTGCTTCCTCGGACCTCCCGGAAGCCGTGCAAGGCATGCAATCTGGGCCCAGCCAAACATGTGCACCTGGAAGTTTGAAGACGTAGCATTTTTGAGAATTGTTTCAGACTGGCAGCTCATCTTTGGTTTTGCCCATTGCCTGAGCAATTGCATTCCCATCTATTTCATGAGCTACCAAATGCAACATCAGTTCATTCCTTTTTCTCCCACTGTCCACGAGAATCCATTTCAGTCGCTTGTAACTAAGGACTGTAAGTGAAACGGGAAGACACGAAATTAATGGCTGAGGTTTGGCCAAGAAGTAGAGAAAGGATATTTTCTCTCCCAACACTTCACCCTTCAAATCTAAATTTTAACACTTTTTAAATCATTGAGCCCATAACAAACATAGAAGTTTGGGCTGGAGAGATGGCTCAGTGTTTAAGAACCCTTGCTGTTCTTCCAGAGGACCTGGGTTCAATTCCCAGCATCCACATAGCTGTTAACAGCTGTCCATAACTCCAGCTTCAGGGGGTCCGATGCCTTCTTCTGGCCTCTGCAGGCATTGCATGCACATGGTGCACTTACACACACACGCAGGCAAAACACTCATACACATAAAATAAAAATAATAAAAATAAAATTTAAAAACAAGCATAGACATTTATAAGCCAAATTATGCCTTTCCATTTTCAGACAGGGTTTCATGTAGCCAAGTCTGGTCTCCAATTTCTTATGTAGCTGTGGATGATCTTGAATTACTGATCTACTTTTATATCTTCACTATTAGGATTACAGGTGTGTACCACCATGCCTGGTTTACTTGGTGTTAGGATCCAACCTTGTGTTTACCTAGCCCTGTGCATGCTGAGTAAGCACTCTACTAATTGAGCGACATTCCCAGGCCTGTGCCATGTCTTCAATAACCCTACTGTGTAGCTATTGATATTAGATATTAGGTGATGGTCTGGTATTACAAAAGATTCACAGTTCAGTGCCACAGATATATTGGTGACTTATTTACCCTCTAAACATTTAAAATTTGGCATGATACATTACCATGGTACATAATCCGTGTCACAAATCACTAGTACTTGCTGGGGCATTAAGATGTGTTACGTAAGTACCATCCAGATGGTTTGATGATTTTTCTGATGGATGCTGCACAGACCGAATACAGAATGCTAGATGCACAAAATAAATGCTTTAATGATAAAAGTTTCAGGAATCTATTTTAGGACCTGAGTCCTTTGGGAACCACAAACGAGCACAGATTATTTTCCCTGTGGGGAAAACCAAGAGGGAAACGATTTTCCAAAGCCCATCTTTTGAGCAAAAGAGTCAAAGTCTAATTGAGGAGTAGTTGAGAGTGTGAAATTTATTAGCAACCTGAAGATTTCCTTATTCAAAAGTGATTTTAAAGGCATTCCCATAGCCACCAAAACATTTGTCTTGGCTCTTTTGTCTGGGATCATTTAAGAATATATGGTCGCTGGGCGTAGCAGTGCACACCTTTAATCCCAGCACTCGGGAGGCAGAGGCAGAGGCAGGCAGATCTCTGTGAGTTCAAGGCCAGCCTGGTCGACATAGTGAGTGCTAGGAACCGAACTTGGGTCCTTTGCAAGAGCAGCAAATTCTTTTAGCCACTTAGCCATCTCTTCAGCCCCTATTCCAACCAAGGCAGGCAGATCTCTGTGAGTTCAAGGCCAGCCTGGTTGACATAGTGAGTGCTAGGAACCGAACTTGGGTCCTCTGCAAGAGCAGCAAATTCTTTTAGCCACTTAGCCATCTCTTCAGCCCCTCTTCCAACCGTTTTAAAGCAGACATTAAATGCATTCACCTTCTTGAGCTCCCTAACTCCTTCCCCCCTTCCAAGGAATCAACCCAGGGTCAACCTAGCATAAGCTAGGCAGGTGCTGTACCATTGGGCTAGATCTCTAGCCCCCATTACCACCTATCATTCCTTTTTGAAACCCACATAGGTAAGGGAAAAGGACCATTTCTTGTTCAATTGTCTATTACTGGTGCCTGTGAACCAGATGGTGTCATTAAGTCTGTGTCATTTGCCACGCGTAGTGTTTAGTAGTTGAGAACATGGGTTCTGGAGGATCTCCTTGGAGTTTACAGCTCACATCTACGGCATTGGCTGAGCCCCCAGTGTCTCTGTTCTCCTTCCTTATTGTGGTAGCCTCTGCCTTTGTGGGTCACTCAGTCCCTCCACCAAAGAAGTAACAGCTTTGCTAATTTGTGAACAACCACTCTCCCAATCCTCAGGGGGCGGCGGGCATCCTCATGCTGAAAATGAAGAGAAAATGAAGCATTTGAAGAAACTGATGGGTCCTAGCTAGAAAGCAGAAATACCTGATACATTGGAATATGATGTCAAGTGTGGCGTTGGCTTGGATTTGTGACACAGACAGCGCCTCCTACACCTGTCAAGAAGAAAGAGGGGATGGACCCCTTAGCAAAACTGTTTCTTGGAGGGTTTCAGTTCTCAGCCCTAGTGGTGATTGGTCATCAAATGATGGTTAGCGTCTCCATAAATTTAAAGGGTGATTTGATTGAGTCAAAAGAATTTTGCCAAGGAAAAAGTTGGTCTGGGGAAATTTGTTTGTGTATATTTTATAATGCCTTCTTAAATCGTGTATTTATAGAATCAGCATGGGTTGAAAGAGGCCATGTCAGCTGGGTTTTTAAAAAAAAACTTTTAAGTTTTGTGATTTTCATACAATATAATTTGATAGTGTTTAGATCCACTCCCCTACCCACACCTCCTCTTATTATCCTCTAAAATATATTTTATAATATAGATACATACATATATAGTCAAATTTGTGTCCCCAAATGTCCTTCAATGTGGGTCCATCCACTGGCTCTGGCTAACTATCCAAGAGTCCCATCCTTGAAAGAGACTGTCTCTGTCTCTGCCCCTCCCAGCAGTCATTGGTTGCCACAATTTTCTTAGGTGGGGCTAGAATTCTTTACCCACTTCCTCATGACTATGCTGGGATTTTGTCTGGTTTGAGCTTGCATGGCCTTGTGCATGCTGTCACCACTGCTGTGAGTTCATATGAATATCTAGCCAGCTGTCTGGAAAACGCTGTTTCCTTGTGGACTTCCACCAGCTCTTACAATCTTTCTGCCCCCTCTTCCACAATGATCCCTGAGACTTGGGAAGCAGGTGATTGATATAGATGTCCTATTACCCTATAGGGGTAGGAGCTCTGCAGCCTCTTATTCTCTGCACATTGGCCAGTTTCAGGTTTCTGTGTTAATCACCATCTGCTGCATGAGAAATCTCTCTGGTGAGAGTTGAGAGATGCATTAATCTATGAGTATCATAAAAAGTCATCAGTTTAATAAGATAACCATTTAGTAGAAATCTAGCATTAGGTTTTCCTCTATGTCCTTTCTAGTGTGTATTACGTTTGATGCAGGCAAGTTTGCTTATGAATACTGAAAGTCTAGCAGACCCATCCTGAACGTGAAGAAGCATTTTGTTTGTTCTTAGCACTTATTTCCTTTTGGATCAGATCTGACCTTTCTTCCTCCTCTAACCCAAGCACTGTCACAAATGGTTCATGTTGGTACCATGTGGTATCCTGTTTGGGTAGACAGGTGAGGCAGTTCAGCTGCCAGACTCTATTTTGCCTTCTGTGTATAGGAGCAGAAGCCCTTGCAGTGTTCCAACAACAGAATGTGGTAGGATGATGATAAAAGCAGATGTTCCCAGTGCCTTTTACAAACCACCTTTATTATACATTATCTCATTCATTGCCGTGTGCGCCCGTGCGCGTGTGGTATGCATGTGTGTGGGTGCCTGGGTGCACATGTGTATGTATGGATGTGCATGTCTGTGGGGGCCAGATGTTGACATCATGTCTTCCTCAATTGCTCTCCACCTTATACACTGAAGCAGGGTCCTCTCACTTGAGCTCAGAGCTAGCCAGCTTGCTCTTGCGATACCGGGTCTCTGCCTCCTGCACTCACGTATTACAGGCGGACAATGATAACCGCTCAACTTTTACCTGAAGATCCGAACTCACGTCCTCACGCTTACGTGTTTTACCACTTGAATCATCTCCCCAGATCCCTGTCACATTCATTCCTAAGGACTCCTCTTGAGGTCATGAGGTCCTCCACTTTTTCCCCATAAGGAAACTGAGGCTCAGAATGGCTTAGTTGCCCAGCAGGACACTCAAAAGCTTCAAGCTCTGAGCTATCTACAGTTGGTGTAACCAGGAGGGTAGCCTGTCTGGTGATGTGTGCGGGTCTGTCATCTAAAGCACACGTGGACGAGACAGCATTTCTCTGTTGCGAATGTCCCCATGTGGGCATCTGGAGCGAGCTAGAAGGCGCCGGGATACCGGGTGGCCGCAGCTGGCACGTAAGGACAAGTGCTGGGGCCAGCATTCTGCCAGCGACCCCTGGGCTGGCATCTCTGCGCAGAGGCGCCGCCTGGGCTTGTCTGGACCCGGAGCGCGCGCCAGCCGTGCGCCCCCGAGCTCGCCGATCACCCGCGCCCCAGGTGCCCCACTCGCGCGCGACGGCGGCGGCGGTGGGTTCCCCGCACCCCAGGGGCGGAGCAAGGCTGCGAGACGTCAGGGCGGGGACGGAGCACCGCCGAGCGCGCCCTCCCGGCGGCTGCCCTCGGCCCACGTCCCCGGCTGGCGCGGCCGGCGGTGGCGGTGGTGGTGGCGGTGGCGACCGGGAGCTGCAGTTCAGACGGCTCTGGGGCGCAGCCAGGCGGCCGCGCGGGCGGGGACCGAGGCTGAGTCCTGAGCCGGCGGTGCGCACAGCTCTGCCTGCCAACCTGAGCGGACCCCACGCGCCCCTCGGCTGTTCCTCGGGTCCATCTCAGCCCCCACGCGTGCCCTTCCATCTCTTCGGGTGACTACAGCGTGTGTTTTGTTTTTCTTCCTTCCTTCCTTCCCCTGCCCGTGTGCCCTTCTCCAGGATGGCAGAGGCGGAATTGCACAAGGAGAGGCTGCAAGTCATAGCAGTAAGTCCACTTTTCATTTCATTTTCTTGATCTATTGTCTGGGGTGGACCGGGACCCGTGGGCTCGGGGCCAGCGACGCGCCAGCACGGTAGCCGCAGGCCCCGTGTTCAGGGTGAAAGTCTGTCCAGGCTCAGCAACTCTGCTTTTTTGCCTTTATATGACTGTAGACTAAACCCCTGGGGCTCGCTTGGTGCTGGGAAGATTTGAACATGCAAAACTGGCTTAGAAATAAGATGCTTGCTGCTGCTCCTCAAGGACAGACTAAAACAGAGGCTGGAGGGTGGGAGAACTCCTGGGCTATTATCACCCAGGGCTCTGGAGTCGTTGACTTCCTCCTCCTGAGAAGGGAGAGAAAACTATGACCCACACCATACCGTGGCGACTGTCTTCCTCTGCCCAACCAGCTACTCAGCCTGCCAGTTTCACGGCAGAGCCTCCTCCCAGACACCGGGGGTGCCAGTGTGCCCTCCTTTGCCTGATATGGGCAGGGGCTCTGGCATAGGCCACCTTCCTAGAGAGGGCAAAGGGGCTTCTTATATCAGAAATATGTCAAAAGAGGCTTTCTCATGGGCGTGGATTGGCTCACCATACAAAGAAACAACTGCTTTTGACAAAGTTCACATGCACTTTCAGAAAAGTGTACCATGTGCTTCTAGGGTTCAAAAAAAAGAACTGTCTGAGGCTGCCTAGATTGGGGAGGCCTTGCCAGTATTGCCAACGGGCCACATGTGTGGATTTTTTTTTTTCTTTACTGGAGCCACCACAGCTGGATTATATATTTCCTTTGTGGTTGGGGGAATGATTACCACAACTATATGAAATAATAGCAAATTAAAAGAGGTCTGTTAACATATTTGCATTAAAAGGATGGCCAGACATTCTTTTACCCAAGTAGCCCCCCACCCCCTTGGGCCAGGAATTCCCTGGAAACATATATAAATTTGCTAGAGAAATACTGTGTAATGTTTTGGAAGCAAAGCATGTGTGAAAGTGTTTTCAAAAGCCTTTGGACAGAATATTAATTGGGAAAATGCACACAAGCCTTTCTCTTTTTAGAAACATTTATGTGGTCTCAGTGACTCTAAGACCTCCTTTCTCAAACTCTTTCAATCTGAAAGGCATTGGATACTTTTCTCTGGAAAGAGAGGGCTGTGCATGGACCATGATGAGGCGCATTAGCTGACGTCTGGAACTGTCTTTGAACCTGGTCCTCAGGAAGGCTGTTTGCTCTTTTCGTTCCTTTCCATCCAGAGCATGTGCATTTTGATGGTTAATGAAGTTGCTTGTGGTTTCTAAAGTCAGTATCAAGTCAGTGTGGCAGTTTGTCTTGAACTTGATAAGAATGGTACCATGGAGCTGGTGGCTGTTTTGTGTAAACTGAATAATGGGCTACTTTAACCATTGACAAGAGTCTGCTCCAGAGAATAGTCCACCGCTCCCGTGGGCTGCTGCTGACCATCTGCAACAGTTGTCACATTTTGTGCCTTTGCATGACCAGCTTCCCCAGATGCCTGAGGACAGCTGAACTCCATGAAAGGACTTGCTTTCTGAACATGGTGCCAATAGCAGCTTACAAACTGGGCTGCCCCTTCCAAGAGGGGTTGAGTAACCCCAGCAAGGGCCAAGGTAATTTTCAAGAAAGATCTAGGGAGACTCTCATTGTTCTCTGGAGCAGAGGAGAAGATAAATATGCACCCATACCTGTTGAGCTGTGGGACCAAGTTCATCCTGAGGCACTGTTGAGGAGTCTGGAGAATTGGTGGGTCAATATGAGAGCAAATACGCACCAGGGAAGATTTTCTAAGTGTTATCACTGAGAGAAAGTGGTGGGGCAGATCAGCAGACAGGAGTATGGTAGAACTTGTGGCTGTAATCAATGGACAATTTTATGCTACATTTTAATTTAGGGCACACTCTTTGCAGGTTCAGCAAACCCTGCTTCTCTCTGCTACTTTCCCAGAATTTTCAGGAGAAGCTTACAAGCCTGCTCCTAAACCTAGCGTGCCTGAAGGGATGTAAGGCAAGCCAAGAACAATTCCTCACATCTTCACCTACACGAGCTCCTGGATCTTGCTCAGGCAGGAGTCTGAGCTTCAGTTTCTTCCTCTGTGAAATGGGCTCATGAGTTTATCTCTTGAACTGTCTTGGAAGTGAGACATTTGGTACAGCTGTCTTTAGGTGATGTTTGAGCCCTCTGTTCTGCTGCTTTGTCATGGGAGGGCAGGGGACAGCTCTGTTTTCCTTTCCTTCAACTCTGATGAGGCCAGGCCTCACCTGGTGTCACTTCTTCGATGGTAGGAATTATGGTTTGAGGGTCCATTCATCTGTTCAGGTTGAACAGGTTTCTCTGTAGCAGGTACCTCTGCACCAATGCTGATAAGTCAGTGTCTCCAGGTTAGATTTCAACAACCAGCAGGAAGGTCTTACCCTCAGTGTGCTTAATTTGTTTATCATTTCTTTTCCCTTTCTTTTTATTTTAAGACAGAGTCTCACTATGTAGCCCTGGCTGGTGTAGAACTTGCTATGTAGACCAGGCTGGCCTTGAACTCACAGAGATCTGCCTGCCTCTGCCCCCTGAATACTGGGATTGATGGTATACGCCACGAAACCCAGCTGCATGCTTAATTTTTGAAAGGACAGGTGTCGTATGACCCAGGATATCTGTTGCAACGTCATCTGTGGGATTTCCCCTCAGTGGGAATTACTCAGCAGCTATAATGCATAAACTGAATCTCTAGTCCCCATCCTGTCAGAAGAGCAACTCCATCTTTGGCAACTCTCTTTCCTCCAGCACGTTCCTTTCGTCTCTAGGGACACTCCCAGGTTTATAAATTTAGAATATACAAAGTGCTTCTGGCAGTAGAATGAATGGGAATGGTGATTCCTGATAATTGCCATTTGTTGGATGTTGTGCATTCAGCTGAGGAGTGAAGTGCTGGCCCTTCTTAAACCGGAAGCTGCTCATAGTCATGGAGGAGGTAGGGAAGCATGTGAACAATTACTATATAGTACAAGCTAGGGTTGTGCCCAGAACATATGAGTGGGACAGGGAACCCAGCCTCAACGTACATGGAGCACCTCCCCGAAGAGCTGTCATTCAAGCAAGACTTGAAGAGCATGTCAATAAACCACCACCATAATCTTCCTGATAACCACAAACATCTATTTTTGTCTCATTATTATTTATTTGCAGCAATTATTGTGAGAAAGAGAAAGACAGAAGCTAAGTCAGTAGGTAACAGCACAAGTCCAGTGAAAGATTGAAATGCTTCTCTCTCTCTCTCTCTCTCTCTCTCTCTGTATGTGCGTATGTATGTGCATGTATACACGCACGCATGTGCAAGCATGCTGTGAGAGGTTGATGTTGGGTACCTTCCTCTGGTTCTCCACCTGACTTTTTGAGATAGGGTCTCTTGATGAACCTGGAGCTCCCTATTTTGCTAGGCTGATTGGCTAGTCAGCCCTGGGATCTGCCTGTCTCCACACCCCACCTCCCACCCCCATTGTTGAGGTTAGAGGCACGTGGTGGGTGTATGGGTGCTGGGGATCTGAACTCACATGCAGCCAGCATCTTACCCACTGAGCCATCGCCTCAGCTCCTGAAATTCCTTTTAAAATTTATTTAATTTAATTTATGTGTATATGAATGTGTGCTGTCATGAGTTTATGTGCAGCATGTGCGTGCAAGTGCCCAGGAAGGCTGGAGGGAGTCAGATCCGTTGGAGCCGGAGGTACAGGTGATTGTGAGCTGCCTGATGTGGTGCTGGGAACCTCGGTCCTCTGCAAGAGCAGTAAGCACTTTAAACTACTGAGCCATCTCTCTCCAGCCCTCCATGAAATGCTTATTCCTCTTCCTCCTCATTTTCCTTCTCCTCTGCCTTCTCCTTTTTCTTCTTCTTTTTTGAAGACAGGATCTCACTATGTAGCCCTGCTGACCTAGAACTCTCTATGTAGACCAGGCTGACCTTAAACTCACAGAGATCTTCCTGCCTCTGCCTTCTGAGAGCTGGGATTGAAAACATGCCCCACCCCGTGCCCATCTAGAAAATGCTTTTTGACAGGCATTATTTCACTGAATTCTAGCAAAAAAAGGGAGCTTTGAAAAATAGACAGTACTCTCATATCCCATTTTGTATGTAGCCAAGATACTGAGGTGCCTCAACTTTAAACAGACAGTGCCAAAACCAGGGTTTGAGCTTACACAGCAGGGCATGAGCTGTCCAAGATGGCAGCAGTACTTTATCTTTTCTCCTGAGAACACTGTGCAGGTGACCCACAGCTTCATTGTGAGCCCACGAGACAGCGGCAGACTGCATAGTACTGGGAAAACTTGAGATAAACCAAGAGGCCTATGTCCTTCTGAGACTCTTTCAAGCCTGGCTGGGTTCAGTACATGGAAATACCCAACATAAACTCTAACCCAATGAGCAACATTCTTTTGAGGAAGAAGCTGTTTCATCTCAATGGAAACTGACTTTGGGGGAGGGTGGTGTTGTGTCTGCATATCCAGGGGGAAGATAGTTTTCAATGGGCATGAATGAGAATAACTAGATGTTATAGAGGTTATCTTGGGTAAAAGCCCCAAGTGCCCCATGGAAAAGGCCTCCAGCCAGCATCAGGGACCAGCAGGAGTGTGTTTATGTGTGCCGATGTATGAACTGATGATCTAACCTACTCTGCTCTTTAGGGAGTTTTGTGATGTATCAAGAACCCACCCAGTGGAATAATAAAAACACTCCCTTGCATTTGCACAGTGCTTCACTATTCACACAAACAGCGTACACGCTGCACTTATTCTGAGCTGTGTAGGCAGGCCTCATTGACTTGCTTCACAACTGAGTATACAGACTCACACAGTGAGATGTGGAAGACTGGGGGAAGCCCTGGTCTCTCTTGTTTCTCACTTGTCTGTGTCAGTGACACATCCAGCTTGGAGAGGTGCTGACGTGAGCAGGATCTGTCTGTCACTGGAGTCTTGTGGGGTGGGAGGAGAGCGGTGA